AATCTCAACAAGCAATGTACATCCTGATACATACAAAATGGCACCTTGTGGCGCAGCGGAAGACTTAGATATAAGCCCTGACCTGACCGGGACTGACCTCTCTCACGTAGTTCAAGATAGCGCAGCAGAATGCTAGAATACCAAGGACTAGTCCAATCAATGTCACAATACAGACCAAACATACATCATCCTTATCATAAGGTGTGAAGGGGGCCTGGCGCTACACACAGGAAGAAGGCGCCAGGTCCAGATCATGCACAGACGAAGAGGAGGGAATCAGACGAAGAAGAGGGGGGGAGATGGAAATGTCGTCAACACCAAGTCTCGTTACAAGTCCCAAATAACCCCTCGTCAAATGTCTGAAGCCCAATGTCGAGTCTGGACCAAATGTCACCAATCCCGCTCTCTCTCATAGTCTGCTGATGCAGTGAAGTCAGGTAGCGGGAGGGTGAGAGGAAGATGGTGGACTGAGAAGAGGAAGAAGAAGAACTCTCTCTCTCTCTCTCTCTCCTGTGCCAGGTACTAACCTGTGAAGATGGCGCTGTGCTGCAGGTACCTCGAAGACGAAGCTGGAGCTATGGCGCTGCAGGTAAGTCTCCCTGGCCTCCGCCCAATCTCTCTCTCTCTCCAGTACTACTCTAGTCCCTACTAGCGCCCAGCGCTGAAGACTACTGCTAACGCTACTAGTGCCCAGCGCTGAAGACTACTGCTAGCGCTACTACTACTCCTGCAGCGCTCCTCCAGAGTGCTGCTGCCGAATCCTGAAGACTACCTCCTGCCTCCTGAACTGCACGTGAAGTGCCTGGGAAGTACCTAGGAACTACCTGCAGCCTGCAGGGCGGGCCAGTCCTATATAGTGTTGGCCCGTCCAGGAGGCTGCTCTTGCCAATGCCAAAACGTGCCAGACTCTGGCGTTGAAGCTCAACCAAGGGTTGTCTTGAAAACAGGCCCAAAATGGCCTGTGCTAAAACCCTGGTCTGGTGCCTGAGTTTCAGGGCAGGTCGATCTTATGAGGGCCTGAAAATGGCCCTCCGTTTCAGGCTGAAAAGACTCAGGGCCGGGAAGGCCCTGTTTTAGGCTGAAACCGTGAAACGACACAGGGCCTGTAGGCCCTTGTTTTCAGGCTTTCAGGCTGAAACGACACAGGGCCTGTAGGCCCTTGTTTTCAGGCTTTCGGGCTGAGAACCAGACAGGGCCTGTAGGCCCTTGTTTTCAGGCTTTCGGGCTGAAAACGACACGGGCCTGAAAATGGCCCGTGCAGCCTGTTGCAGGCGCAGCATGTAACACCCCCCTCTCCTTATGAAGTCAAGCCGGGTCGAGGGCGAAGCTGGCGATCTGAAGGTGGAACCTGAATGCGGGTGCGATGTGGAGCCGAAGATACCGGCTTGCCTTAGATCTTGCGTTCGTAGCGTGTGAGAATATCTGGAGCTGCTGTTTGGAGTTCCGCACGGGTCAACCAACGGTCAACTTTGTGAGTGCAGTACGCAAAGTGTAGCAAGTACTCGGTTGGCCTGTTGCCGTAGCGTCGCTGGGAGATGATGTCGCCGACCTCTTGAAAACTGTCCATAGACGGTGGGTCTTGCGATCATCGCCCGGGAAAATCGTAATCTTCCGCGGGTGTGTAAAGAGCCAACTTGGAGCAATGAAAGACCGCGTAGACGGGCAACTGGGCGGGCACCTGAATGGTGAACTCATTGGTCATTGCCACTTGAAAGGTCGTCGGGGCGTTGGTGAGGCCAAAAGGCATGACCACCCACTCAAAATGCCCACACCACGTCTTGAACGTGGATTTGTAGCGATCGTTTGACCGGATCGAAATCTGATGGTATCCCGACTTCAAATCCAACTTAGAAAAGTACTTTGCGCCGCCAATCGCTCAAGAAGATCGTCGATACGGGGAAGAGGCTCCGCATTCTTGACGGCTTGCGCGTTTAGATTGAGGTAGTCGATGCATAATCGTAGATCCTTGTCCTTCTTCCGTACGAAGAGAACCGGGGCTCCGTATGGGGAGCTACTAGGGCGGATCCGGCCCTTGTCCAACAAGTCATCGAGTTGCGCGCGGAGGACCGTAAGCTCCTCCTCGCTCATGCGATAAGTGCAATCTTTCGGCGGCACGACACCGGCCTCAAGAATGATCTCGTGAGAGATCGGCCGACCCGGCACCACACCGGTAGGTGACTCGAAGATGCCGGCGAACTCGTCAAGCAACCGCACCACACGGGGGTTGGAAGACAAGTCCGTGGGTGAAGAGTCGGCTGCCACGACAGTCCATAGGAAACATAGGCCGATTTCGTCAGTTGTCACTCGCCCTCTTCGCATGACTCTAAAAATTTGAGTACCATACTGGGAGGTCATCCGTGAGGCTAGTCTCCACACTACGACTTGGAAAGGCCGACTAAGTCCAAACAAGTGTCTGGTCTCAGTATCCCGGATCCAGATGACGCCGAAACGCATGTCGGACGAGGTAATCTTAATACTCACAATGACTCGGGAGAGACATTGGAGATTACTCGCGCAGTGGAAATACAAGAATATCCAAAAAACTCATCCTGAGTCCGGGCCGTATTTGCCCAGAAATCCGCGCGAGTAGTGGGAAAAAATCCCTCGTCGTTTCGTAATAATCAGATGAAGTCAATCCACTCAATAGGAGAACCGTCTCGACCCCGTAAAAGTTGCTCTGCTCCTCTGATAAGATCGTCCTCATGTGTGTCGCGAACCAGCAGGTACCTCGGGGTCGTCAAGTCTCGCCGTGCTCTAGGCATCAGAACAAAACTCAGTTCATCCTCCTCGTCCTGCCATGCATACTTAGAGAAAGGTTCAACTCGTAGAACAATGAACCTGCTTGCCCGTACCCGTCTTGCATGATATATACCGAAGAATGGACCCTGCCGCTCGTTCATCCAAAGTACGGAGCGGACAAACGTCAATCTTATTTTTGGTATCTCATCCATTCGCGTCTTTATCTCATAAGGTTGCATCACTACGAAGTTCATGTTGGCGAAATCGTGATCGGGCAGTGGTGGCGCAAACTCGTAGTGAAGAATGTCCAGACCGGTTCTTGACCTGAAAATGAGTCGCCTAGGAGGATTTCGCGCACTGTTATCCCAGAACCGCGGAATATCTTCCTCTGAGTATGTAGACGAATCGTCCTATTCTCTCTAATCTTTCTCCGTTAAGTCTTTGGGACTCGACCCGTTCCGCCGCTGCATCACGATTTCGGAAAAGGTAACAAACCGTCGTTCCCGCAAACATCTAAAAGAAGTGAAGACAAAGGTGATCAAGTTAAAACTAAGTATTACTAAAACATTTGTCTTCCTTCTGGCCCGTGCTTCTTATGGCACGACCGGCAACGTCGAGAGTATCTAAAGATACTATTTTTGGCTAGTAGGACACGAACTAGGCTACTTGTGGCACCAGTTCCCCATACGCCAGTGACTCATAGAATGGCTACCAAAGGAGTGCTATGGCAGTTTCTCCTTACGCAAGGCATCAAGAACTTAAAGTCCTTTCGTGAAGATGCTTTTATCCATCCCCCTAGGAGGTGGTCTGGGATACACCTCGTCCTCGTCCGAGTGAACCCCGGAACTCAGAAGTCAGGCTGGCTCCACCGCAACAACATGGTACCCCCCCGCAAAGCGGTCCACTCTGAGTCGATAACAAGGCCGGCCCCTAAGGCAACGAACCCCCGCCTCAGATGCCTCCTAGGAAAAGGAAAAGCATTTGCATGGCAGACAAGCTAAATTCTTGCCACCTAACGTCAGGAGCAACTTAGACAAAGAAAAACGAAATCGTAAAAAAAAAAGTCATTCAGACGGACAGGCATAGACAGAGAGGGTCATTCGGGAAAGAAACGGGTGACCTTGGGGAATGAGTCTAAGTCCATTTACGTCCTTCTTCTTTATGCCCGTTTCATTTTCATCGTCTTCTTATCCCTCTAGTTTATACGCACTCACAAGTAAAGAGGTGAGAAAACAACCATTCTTTCACCATCATCACCCTTATCCATCTCGGTCCACATGTCATACCTGCAATCAAGTTGAACCACAAAAAAACCACCATACAGATCCCTTGCCATCGCCAGACTCCTTGTCATACATGCAAACACACATTCCCTTTCCCTTTCCAATGAACGTTCAGAGAACGAAGGTCAAGGAAG